TATTCATTGCTTGTATTGCTTTATCACTGCTTTCACTGTTATAATCATTCAAATGCTATCCTCTCTAATGCAATACAGTATGTATTGAATGCATTCAGTGTTTGCCATAATATTTGATCCAAAAATCACTAATTCTGTCGACTTATCTTTAGTTCACTTTTTGTGATTTTTTGTTCAATTTTGAAATCCAGTGCAGTGTTAGAGTTATATGTGATATACAGTACTTGTGGTGCAGCTGTCCTTCAATGGCTTCATTGCCTTTATTAGTCATGTATGTACTGTACTCTACACAATGTATAGCAATGTATGCATATGTAGTCTAATCTAGTATTATATTTATATAATATATACTTTATTCGTTACATACGTGTGCCGGTGTCACTACCCCTAGTCTTGAGTCGTTTTTAAATAGGTCTCTCATCAGCTCAGTCACAGGGACTAAAAGCCAAGTGTTGCAGTGGGCTGAGGGATACGGGCAGAGGGGTACAGGCAGTGTAGACAGACTCCCTTTTTCGTGTGCCACTCGCGTGTCACTTGTGGAGTGCTATACAGTTAACACTAGTTTTGTTAATCCAGTGCTGTATTCAATTTTGTCGACACTGTTTGCAAGAATGCCAATACACTACCAGTGCTATACCTTTACTACTATCATTACTACTACCCGACCACTATATTGGACGACCAGTAATGTATTGTTGCCATCAATAATGGCAAATAAAGCCTCTTTCCAGCTGTAAATCTCAATGCAAACTATTATTGAAATATACAGTATATATCTTATTGAGAATGTATGCAAATCATTGAAAGTGTTAAATTGAAAAATATTTAACTCATATTTTGTACGCTTGTTTACTGGTATAGGTATGTCCTATGCCTGCACTTAACGAGTTTAGTGAAAACTATGTAAACGATTGGCAATGCATTTAAATTGAATGAATGGTAGTGCAGATGACCCCATCATACCATAACTATAACATACCATACCATTGCTGATATAAGTGGTTCACAATTGAGGTATTTATTGAGCCAAAAACGAGTTTCTTTTGATCACAAATAGTCTTCAATAGTGTTCAATAGCAGTGTTATAGCATTGGCTACAGTAGCTGTTGAGCCGGTAGCGTCCATCCGTCGGTCGGTGTGTCCATCGATGCATGTCCTCGCTATACCCCACACTATATCTCACTGTTCCCCACCTGCCTATTCATCATCACTGTGTTGTACTCAGTGTAGACCTTTCAGCTGTTGTTTCTATACAATCAATGCAAAGAATAAGCAAAGCCTAGACTTTTTTTGTTGTTGTTGGGGTTGTTGGGGGTCTAATACTAACTATATACCCGCTATTGAGGGTTATGGAGGTCATTACTAGTATTAGAGGTATTGCCAATTGCTAGCACTGTATGGTCTGTCGTACCATACATACAAACTAATGTGTCTTAAGCTCGAAGGTGAGCAACAATACGTCGAGTGCTGGTGTGAGGGTGGTATCGGTGTGTGTGCAGCTCAGTCACTCAGTAAGTGAGTGAGTGAGTGCAGGTATGTCACTATAAAGCTGGACAGTGGGCCTGTTGTCAATGGTATGGCATGCTTTTATTGAATAGAGTGAATGCCAATCCCAGTTTATATTGAATACTATAGTTACAGATGCATCAGTCTATTGGTGTGCAAACCATTACAATAATGCAAAGCATAATATTTGTGTCGCACAGGCAGTTATGTTAAAACTAAATGTGCTTTACTTACAAATTCTTTCATATTGGCACTCGAGTCAAGTTAGACTTGGATGGACAGGGATATGGTATTGATGTTGCTATAAGTGAGCTCAGTATATGGCAAAAGTATGGACTCAACTACTCTATGGTCCTGTATATTGTCCATTAAGCTCATGTATGCCAGCGGCAACATCTGTTTTCAGGCTATTAGTGTACAAATCCTAATACTTTTGCACCGATTTTAATACAATTCAATTGTAATTATGAATTATTACTTTATTTTCAATAACAGTCATTTACAGGCAATCAATCATTAGTAAATCTTTATTATTATTATTATTATTATTATTATTATTATTATTATTATTATTATTATTATTATTATTATTATTATTATTAAACTTTTTAATTAAATTAGTTATATTATACATAATATCTATGAGTAATAAAATAAATTAAAAAAATAAAAGATGTGGACAATAGTAATATATGGTTGTGTCAAATGATTGTCTCCCTTTCCCTTTCCCGGTCATAGTGGGTGTGATATTATAATATTGGAGCGATTCTGGAAATTCTCAATTTTTATGTACATTTTTATCTCAATCTCTACCTGTTTTCATAACAATTACTCCACCTTTCAATACAAGTTTTGTATGGTTTCCGCTTTAATGCTATTGATTTAACAATTTTACTATTTTAGTGCAATCTTTACATTACCTAACACATACAGTACATAATGTACACACAGACACACACACACACACATGTATATATACACCACTCTCACAGTGAAAGCCGGATTTTCAGCGGAAACATGAAATTTTTTATCGATATTATTATTTTCTCTGCTATTATACAATTAAAGCAAATGAAAACCTGTTGGTAATATGTTTAGGTCTCTCAGCGCTAGAGTTCGGACACCTTTTTTAAGTAGGAAAGTTCCCATAAAAATTTCTCTAATATTTTTAGTTGTTCTCCGGACTCCTTAATATAAATTAATATTTTAAAAAGAAATAGCAAAAAAAACAAAACTTAATTATTAATTCCGAAAAAATATGAATATGAATATCAATATCAATATAATATAATCAACAACTTATAAGTATATTCTATTTAAATAGTTTGGAAAACAATTAAAACAAATTTTTGAGTAATTATATAATTACTTAATAAAACTTTGGTAGATGATACCTCATGAAAATACCTTATCGGGAACAATGAAAATTATAATTTTTGGTAAATATCTCTTTGTAGTAATTTTGTTCTAACTCTACTCATCTCTAAACAAGTGAAATGTTTTACTAAATGGTAAGCTATGAGCTCAACCTATTTATTCAGGTTTCTCTCCCTCACTGAAGCTTTTTTACACATTTATCTCAAATTAAATGCAAACGTGTGAATCAGATTAAACTAAAATTTGCATTAAATCAGTGCTTATTTGAAAACATTTAACACAATATTAAATTATATAAGCAACGCATTTGTATATAATTTTGTAAATACATTGTATCGGTTTTTTGGTGAAAATGTATTTTTAAATATTTTAAATTAAAATTTATGACCAATTCTTGTAATACTAGTTGAGTTGAGTGTATGGATTTCTATGCTATGAAGTGTAATGGTATGGTTTAGTGCCGGTGCGCTACCTCAGGGTCATCCGCATACATTGAAAATGATGAGCCGCTCCCGTGTCTGCACTCAAATAACTGCACTTTCATCTTCCCACAGGAGCGAGCATTATATCAATACTTAAGTGTATGATTGTATGAGTTTGTATGAGTTACCAGTTTGTTATACACAGAGAGGAACCAAACACTGTAGACACAGATCCTGACGACACCAACGAATCAATTATTTATATAATATAATCAAATACTTTGTTTGCAAACTCGCTGTTATTATAATTTGATTTTTTAAGATTTGCATTTCTGTATAATAAGTGATATGCATTTTAAAATAATTGACAAATAAATAATCAATTGATTAAATTGCTTTTAACGCTCTAATAATTTGTGTCATAATAAGGTGGTATATAATATCGGGTTATTATTGTATAGTATGGGATGCATTGATAGGTTGTGAGTTATACTGTTGATTAGCCCCGGGGCCCACATTCAGCCCACATTCTAACATTCTTTTCATTTAACTTTATGGTTAGCTAATATGATACAAGTGCTAGAATTATACTAACTGTACTCTACTGTAAACTAAATGTATGCTTTATTATTACTTATTTTATTACCTTTTTGCACATCTCATCTCACAAGGGCTCAGTAAGGCATACCCCACACCAAACATAGAGTATTAGTTGATACAATTGCTTATGGCTCACACCTCCCAATTTTTTTCACTAATTGGACTTTTTGTTAGCCCGGATATCTAATTTTTCATTGACTTATGACCTCACCTCAGCTAAACATATTATACATATATATATATATATATATATATATATATATATATATATATATATATATATATATAACCATAAAAGCGGTAAATAAGTTGAATGAACACAATGTTTGATAACCTAATCTATAGTTCACTTGTATTTTCTGGTAAAAAAGTCTTGAATTTTAAACTGAATTTTAATGATAATAATTATATTGTTATTTAGTAATATGCCGATTGAGGGCTTCCCTATAGTTATATGGTTCCCGAAGTTGGCAGTCAAGCGTGCCTTAGCCCTCACCACTGCACCACTGGTTGTGCTCTGTGTGCTCGACAACAGTTGAATCCTAGTCCGCAAAGTCCTAGTCCTGTGTATCACAGCTCACAATCCATACAATCGACACAATCCAAGGGCAACTCTCGCGCATGCCTTTCCTCATCGGCTCTCTTACCAGAGATTGTCGAACAGCTCGAGAGCTCCGGCATTAATGCATAGACTCTTAACGAGTGCACAACTTTATGTTCAACTCATACCAGAGTCCTAAATGTCGATCACTTCACTCTATTTGTGCTCTCAATGTATGAATCGCTTGATTCTTAGTTTATGTCAATTAAATAACATTTTATATACTTTTTAAAAGTAATTAATTACGAGACTAACTCTCAAAAGTTGCAAACAATTCAATTAATATAAAGATTTCTTTATTATCAAACATATTTGTTAGCAATTTATCACTTCATGTATTTTTCAGACGGATATCAATCATGAGTTGAATGTCACTGAGGAATCTGTTTATCCATAGAGGATATCATAATAATAATTATTATTATTAAATGTAATACTTATTAATATAAGTTTTAGTAAAAAGTTTTTATAATTAAAAAAGTTTGTTAATAACAATGATTGCCACCAAAACAAATGACTTATTCTTTGATAAATCAAGTCAACAATCGTGTCGTCAATCATCTATCAATTCAAACAATTGTAAGGCCCGGACTGGGTCTCAACGCCAACAAGACATCACATCTTTATCCATGTCATCCACATTAGGACACTCTCTATCAGGTCTGCAGCAATTGGCTCAAAGGAAGATGAGCTGCACTGATAGTTGCCAGACATCATCAGTGAAACAAATATATAATAATCATAATAATAATAAAGTGACAAATAGTGCGAAACATTTTAATCATTATTTAAGTGGACTTCACTTATACTTTAAGTCATTCAACAAATTGACAAATTATGAACCCCTGTGTTATTTAAATAGCTTATTTGGTAAGTGCTGTGGACCATGGATTACATCAAATAATCTAAATTCAGGTATGTTTGCATCATTCCGTTTATTTTATTTATAGTATTATTAAATTGATATAATAGTCCTTTTAAATTAATTGTCAATTTTTGTAATACTTTTAAATATGTCATATAATACACTTTAGTTGRATACTGCTTATACAGTATTGATTTGTATCGACACAATCACATACAATAGCAAACACACACACACACACACACACACACACACACACACACACACACACACACACAYACACATACACACACATGTAACATTATGCATTGTGTTGGTTGTCTATGAAATAACAATATGTATATACTTTATGTGTTGGTATTGTGCAATGTATTGCAACCTCACGCGTCGCCTACCCCTACGAGACAGGTATAAATCCAATATTCAATATATTTTGTATTTATTGTACCATTATATTACATTATATTCTCATATACTGTATATATATATACAGGTATATATATATATATATATATATATATATATATATATATCGCCTAAACTTAGCGACGCTATGCACAGACATGGGTAGATGACCGCACACATACTCATAATGTACTGTATATACAGTATTGTATACCTAACACAGCACATACACATACCTATCCAATAACAAACCCAAACTTATTAAAGTATTTTTTTATAAAATTACAAATACAATATATCAGTGAGTGATTTGTTGGTTCGTTATATTATACATAATAAACATGTATTGATGTATTCATTATTCATTGATTGGCATTTAAGAACATTTTTAAAGATTTTATACATTATTTCATATCATTTAAGATCATCTTTTTATTAATGATAAATGAATAATCATTTTCAAACTATGATTGAATTTGTTGTTAAAATAAGTCAATTATTAATGTGTTATTAGCGTCGCTATGTTGTATTGGCAATTGGGGAATGGGATGTATAGTCTAGAGAGTTGACAGAGTAATGTGCAAACTAACAGTGCCTACAAATGGTTACATTTGTACACCAGTTGTGGTATTTTTGGTGATGAAATCAATCAAAAAAAGACGGAACTTATGATATAAAGTATATTTTGAATATATATATCGAGTTTATATTGACTTTAAGGCTTTGCCAACAAATCCATTGTAATAATGATTGTAAATGTGGTTTTTGTGGCAAAATATTTATTGCCAGCAAATATTTACTTATTATTTATAGTAAATCAGTGGTCGTCATAACACACACAACATAGTTATAACAAAAATATTTGATATATTATTGTTATGATATATGAATCATAAATTTATATTATTATACATATAAATTATTATATTGCAATGTGCATTACATTGCAATGGGCACTCAATTTAGTTATAAAATGCAATCAATTGTCAACTATATATTTAACAATATATAGCACTGATAGCTGTGATATTAATAGCAGTTATAATCAGATAAAAGGGCTTAACTTGAAAATTGAGCACAAATTAAGAGCACAAATATTTATATGATTTGATGAGATGTTGGCATACAATGTACTAATGTGTGGACTGGCAGGCAATGGGTGGAAGTCCGGGTGGTCTTATGCCTGGTCTAGTGCTTGGAGTCCTAGTGCTGGTCTAATGCTCTAATGGTCTCTCAGCTCCATTTATGTGCAGTTTTACCCAAACAAGTATAATACACAACTATAATGTATACCAATATACTGTATATATAGTGTTGTTGAAAAATACACTTTAACTGAGATAAGATTTGTTGTTTGAGGTGACTTTCTTGCAAAGTGCCGATCAAACTGCTATTGAGAGGACAGGTAGAGCAGGCCTGGCCTGTAATAAACGATCAATATACCTATGTTTCATATATATATATATATGCCTGTAATGCCTACGATAGTTGCAAAATGTAGGTAAAATTGAGATAAATTTCATGCGACAAATGCTAGGACTCTACCAATTCATTGCATATATCGCTTTATTTTCAACTCTTCAATAAACTTGTGTCAAATAAATGCTATATCTTAAGCTTTAGGCTATTTTCAGAACAGTGCCAATCTTTCAATGGTCTAAATGGCCTCTCAAGCCCTGATCATCTCTCTCTCTCTCTCTCTCTCTCTCTCTCTCTCTTTGAAAGCCATAAAATGCTTAGAAGTGTTTTTCGGATCACTTTTTGTAACTTTGCTGTTCACTAACAAGTAATTGATTTTTCGTCAATAAAATATAAAATTAGACAAAATCTCTACACTATATAATATAGTGATTGAGTCGTTCAATTGTAAACCAACAAAAAAGATCCTCATTTTACAGCTCATACATTATATGACAAATACCTGATAACTGACCCAATATTTACTGAACACTAATTGGCTTCTCATCAAAATATTGCTAATTATTTATAAAACAAATAACAGTAACTGTGTTATCAATTAATTAACAACATTTTACACATTGAAACACTGCTTCAATAGCATTAAAATAAGGTATCAATCAATTAATGAATACAAGCTTTGCGTAACATTTTTATTACACCATTTGCTAATTATTGCTTTAATTATGATCAATAAATATTACCTTATTTTAGCAAATTTATATTAACTTATAGTGTTTATAATTTATATACAATATATTGCTAACATAATAATTAAATTACTATAATATATTAGTCATAAATCATAAGTACATCTATGTTTTGATTGGAAATTAATGACTTAATTCATTGATCGACAAATCGTTAGTAATTTCAAGATTGAATGTCGGCCTATGGCTTATATAGTTGTCTGACTTCACATGCAGTTTATTATATTGATATCTAAAAAAAATGTTTCAATAAATTATTGTTTATATAATAAACTAACGCCAACACATTATATATAATTTTATTATTTATTTATAGCAGAATTATTTAATATTTTTTATATAAATATATATTGTTTAAGTACTAAACATTTCATTTTAATCAGTGCATTCAATTGATGTATTTGTAGTTTATTTGCTACATTAAAATATATTTATAAATATTTGTATTTAAAAATTTATTTGTTTAAAATAATAATTATTTGTGATCTGTTTGTGTGTATGAGAATGTATTTATTAAATTTGATAAAAGTTGATATACTTATATATATTGATAATTTAGTGTCAACAGAGAAATGTTGGGGCGATTGCGTGATAGGTATGAATTAATGGAGTTAATGCTAACAAGATTTGAATGATTCAATGATACCATAATATTATATAATAGGATCGCGTGTATTATCATCACTAGAGAGTTACCCATAGTTTAGGGACTGTATGTCATTGTGCTCTTCACATAACTAAACAACTGTATAGATCTACAGCAGTCTATTATTTAGCTTTTTATAGCTTTTTCAGTATTTTTGATGTATTATTATGAGAATTGAATTTAGTGTTTGTCTCGTTTGTATGTGAGATAAGTTAATAATCTGGTTTAGAGGGCATTAAGTGAAAATAGTGCATATCTGTGCTCAAACACCCATTTTGGACGACATGTGCGACATAGTGATGGTCGAGCTTTCCTGTAATTAGGCATATTATCAGTTAGCAGGATGTCTATGATGCCTACACTAATAAACCAGTTTTCTCTAATTGTAGGCCTTGTGGGTCTCCCTTTCTAGTTATAGCCCTTGATGGCACTGGTAGTGTAGGTATGCCGGCTTTGCTCCACGGTGTCCACTCTTATATTAAGGTCCGCTGCTACCGGTGCAACCGTAACATTATCCAAGCTTAGGGTACACCCCCTAATCGACTACAAACTAGATGTTAAAACTATTAAATAGTTGTTTTAAATTATATTATTATGCAATATATGATAAGAATTTATTGAATAATAAAAATTAAAGAATTAAATTATGTAAATAAAATTAGTTTCAAAAATAAATATTTTAACGGTTATACATATAAGCTCTCTCTCTCTCTCTCTCTCTCTCTCTCTCTCTCTCTCTCTCTCTCTCTCTCTCTCTCTCTCTCTCTCTCTCTATCTATCTATCTATCTATCTATCTATCTATCTATCTATCTATCTATCTATCTATCTATCTCTCTCTCTCTCTCTCTCTCTCTCTCTCTCTCTCTCTCTCTCTCTCTCTCTCTCTCTCTTAGCGCTAATTGTTAATGAAAGTTTTGAAATGTTTGTATATATATGATTGTATGATTGTTTATGTTATATACAATATAAATAATAATGCAATCAATTTTGTGAAGCACTTGAGAAATCATTTATACTCTTAAATATTTTGAGTGAAGGTTTTCTGTTCACACCTGAATGCTCTGACAATACATTGGCATAGAGTGCCATAGACTACTAGTGCCATCACTAACATCAGTGCCATGAGTAACATAAGCAGCACACGCAGCACACGAAGATGTGCCTCAATATAAATAATGGCAATGAATGCATGACAGACCAACAAGAGAGGGGAACGTGTCTGTGCCCGACACTCACCATATATTGCTTTTTAAATACCAACAAATAAGACATAGACTTAAATCTTAACCATAAGAGTATCCAAACTTAAGAATGTTTTCTAAGAGGACTACTTCAACAATAAAAGCACTTGTCTTAAGCTACCAGTGTATCAGCCTTTCCTTAACATAGAGATTCATAACCTACCAAACAATTGTAAACAAATTATATTCTAAACAATTGCTTTCAACTTTGCAAATATATAACTATTTTTTGTGCAAACATTATAACATTTTTATAATACTTTGTTTTTATGAAACATTCTCTTATATTAATCATATATTTATAAAACAATTTTTGTTGATTGCAGAGAACGGT